TTCCTCGATGGCAGCTCGATATTCTGGCACGTTGCTAGTAGTGGGCTCTGTCAGCATGGGCACTGTGGGCGAGAGTGGCTCGACCACAGACATCGAGAAGGGATGGGAACCCATTTGCTCCGTAGTGGTGGGAGATGGAGAATCCTGGACATGGACGACAGGGATATTTACTGCAAAGAAAATAAATCAGGTGAGTTGAAAACTTATAAAAAGCAAATTGAATAGTGAAGAAAAAAGGAAAAAATACCAGGTGGAGGTAGAGCAAGAAGTGTTGAAGCAAGAGGAAGATTTTGTACAGCCTCGGATTGCTACAAATCGAGATAGAAATTAGAAAAGAAAACACGTGTAAATCAAGAGATGCATATGAACATTTAAGAGTGGTACCTCAAGAATAGGTGTTGAGGAGGGAGGTACAAAATCGACATTCGTCGATATGGTCGCCGATGTACGACCCTGAAAATATCAATTAATTTAAGTCATACGATAGGCTTTGTCGAAATTTAGGAATATCAAGTTTGTGTAAAAAAGGGACTCACATGGCTCGATTGAGTTGCGGGAGTAGTTTGGCCCGTGGTAGGGATCGTATTAGAGTCCGTCGATAATGGATCGAGAGCAACTGGTTGAACAGATCGAGGACTCTTCGATTTTTGTTTCTGAAAATAGAAGATCGAAAAGAGATAAGTATAAGAATATGGATTGATCAGACAGAAAAATGAATAGGACAAAACAGAAGTCAAAAGGAACCTTCGATTTTTTCGAAGAAGTAGGAATGGTGGCTGAGCGTCTGCGGTTTCTGACTAAGGCTGACGGGTCCGATTCATCTGAGGATTCCCAGTCCTCTTGTCTCTTCTCTTGACCCTTCTCGACAGCGGTGACCTTGGTAGATTTCGAAACTGCCAATAAAAGAAGACAGATTAGCTTATAATATACAGAATCAAAAAATATGAGAAGACAGTAAAACCTCACCAAAAGGTGATGGAGTCAAAATTTTGACTCGATCAATATGTACTAGCCAAGGAGGCAGGAGGTCTTCGGAGAGGTTAAGGTAAGGAAAGTAAAACAATTTCGATACCGAAATGTCTTTGTTTTTGGGTTTTGGGCGAAGTGTTTCTTTAAGGGTTCTCAGTTCTCGAACCCATTTGGGATGAGTTAAAGGTTTTGCGAGTCCAAAAGGTGCTGTAGGAAAAGTGGGAAGGCGATCGGGACAATACATTTCAAAAGGGGTTTTTCCTAAGGGATTAATTATTTTGTGGTTCGACCTATTGGTATCTGTTTTTGGGATAAAGAAATGACGAGCGTCATAAAAGGTCGATTCTAGTTTTAGTGGAGTATAACATATTTGATAAAAATTCTCGAATCGAGATATTTGGAGACAAGTGGAAGTGTGTACCTTTCTTCCCTTTCGACTTGTCCTGCAACACAAGAGAAGGACGAGCAGTCAGTTTCTGTCGAACCTCGTCAAAAGCAGCATGATTTTTTGAGAACCAAGTGGTCCACCATTGAGAAAATTCCACAGTCGATAAATAATTTGATTCAAATACATATGGGTAAAGATGCATCGAGGTTCTTGGCAAAAACTTGGCAAGCTCCCGGCCGATGGTCGATTCAGTCAACTTGGATTTGGGGAGGGTATTTAAAGGAAAAAAGGGTAAAGATTGGCTCAGACCAAACTGTCTTGAAAAAAGTTGAGGATAGTAAGTAATAAACTTGAAATCTTTGGATTGGAAGCCCGATATTAATACATCTTGAGTTAAATAGCTACTCCATATATCGACCAACTCTAATTGCAACCCAGGAGTTGAGGCAGGAAATTTTGACTTAAACCAAATCGGCCCCCTAAGTTGGTCACTTAGTCGTCCAAGATTTACAGTAAAAGGAGCTAAGGTTGAATCGAAAGTGAATCTAGTTAACAAAAAGTGAAGGTATCTACAATAAGAAGCCTCATCAGGCTTATGGCGAGGATGGCGAGAGGATAATCGAGCCCCTTCTATATTTACACTTGGGGGGTGGTAGAAGTTGGGGGAATGATGCTCTCAAAAATCGAAGTTAACCATAACTGTATAAACCAAACGGGGCCAGAAAAATTCCCTGATGCCTTAGGAGTACTCAAAATTTCGACAGCTTCATCGAAAACAGTATACACATGCGCTAGCAAAAATTTGGCTAAACATAGGCTAGGCTGGCCTAGGTGAAGGAGATATGCAAGGTTGAACAAATGAGGGGAAATTTGGATCGATCGAGGGCAAAAAACATGGGTGCACAGCCAATACACCAAAAATGCCACGTGCTCTTCATCGGTAACAGCTATCGAAGGGTCATCGATAAAATGCTTCTCAAGGAAATGACCATAGGCCTTCGATTCCCAATCAATTTTAGACTTCAGAGAATTATCCGAAGGACATGCACCCTGAAAGTATCTCTCTCCTATAGGTTTTAATCCAGTGATGACTGCGACGTCGAAAAAAGTAGGTGAGAGAGGGCCGCAAGGTAATTCCAGGGCATGTATTTCTTTATTCCATAAATGTATGGCAGCCAAAAACATAGCCATGTCTAAATAAGATAAGTCACATTGAGACAGGTGCAAAAAATCGAAAATCCCCACATTTCTCCAATGGTTCCCAAACTTAGCTTTGACCCGATCAAACCATCTCATGAACAAAGGTTTTTTGGAAGGAGGGCCTGTCCGATATATCCTAGAGACAAGATTCAGAAAATCGATTCTAACTTTAGGCTGGTGCACAAGAGCTGGGCTATTTGAGAGGGTGAGGGGAGAAATAGTTCCACTACCAGAAAGAATAGGACCCCCAAAAGCAAAACTAACACCTTCAACAGTGTAAGGAACGAGTACCTGCGTTTCAGCAATTTTTTGGGAAGCTTCTTCCATCAGAGGCCGTGGAGCGAACTTCTGGTTGTTAATCTCCAGCAAGTTAGAAGGCAATGAGGAAAGGGGTGGAACGGAGAAGTCAGAAGATTTTGACGAGGTGGTCATCTTAGTGAGCTTAGAGAAGGGTTAACGAATGAGGTAGCAAGGAGGAAGACAACAACTCAAGGAAGACGATGAAGGTGCAAGCAGAGGGTAAAAGTTCGCGTAAAAAACCAAAGTAAAAACCAAGGGAAAGGTTAAAGAGAAAATCGCCTAGGGAGCTGGAACGACAGACGCGAAAGGTAATAAATGTAGCGTACTGTAAAAGCAACAGACTGATATGATGGCGACGTAAAACGGAAAGGAAAACCTAAAACCCTTTTAACCCTAGAACCCCAGAAAACTTAAACCCTAAGTTCCGTAGGCTTCCAAACATTAAGGCGGGAATATTGAAAGAATATAAACTGAAATCATTCATATTCTTTCAAGGGGGCATTTTGTTAGTGGCAAATCGAGAAAAGCAATCGAAAATGTGACTCGATAAGATAAACAAAATCGATGTCTGGTTAGAAGCACGTAGCATCGAGAAGTACAATCGAGAATCGAGTAAATGGTAACCAAAGGCCTGTTATCGAATAAAAAACTAAGTCATATGAGACCAAGGTCAAAAAGGAATCATAAGCAAATTGAAGTTCTCGAAAATACAAAATCGAGAGTGAAGAAAGCCAATGTGGACATCGAGATTCTGCCAAACCATGAAAAGAAGAATAAGTCAAACGCACGTATAGAGAGCAGTTCCGAAACAGGGAAGGAGTCGAGGATCGTGAGAACGTGGGAGACCGTGGAAGGTAAACTGTCATATGCACGTAGAACGTGGTAGCAGCCTTGTTAACTGCTTCTGGAAAGCTTGAACGATGTCCTATAAATAGAGCAAAGAAGGACGGAAAGGGGAAATTGGCAGAGAACAGAATCAGTAGTGAAAAGTCTACCGGAGAAACGACAAACACCATGAAGCTTCGGCAACTGGATTTCCTTGCTCACCGAGTACATTTACCGCTTTCGTATTTTCCTTGGTAATTTATGCTTCAAGCAATTTTATGTTTCGTACTCTCTATTCTTAGTCATTTCAATTCAATGCAAGTTTAAGTTTCTGTATTTTCGATTTCCTGTCATTTACTTTTCTTGCAATTTCGATTTATTGCCATTTACATTTCCTGCACATTTCGATTTCCTGCCATTTACTTTTCTTGCAATTTCGATCTATTGCCATTTACATTTCCTGCACATTTCGATTTCCTGCCATTTATATTTGCACTATTTTCGATTCTTCGTCATTTACAATTAATGCAAATTTGGGGTTTTTGCACTTTATATTTTCTTGCAATTTAAATGTTACGTTTCTCGATTCGATACTTTATCGCTTTCGATACTTTAAATACAAAATACCAAAAACGACTTTCTTGATATCTTGTGATTTTCGATCCTCATACACGTTTTCGATTGAAAGTCAGACTGCTAGCCTAAGTAAAAAGAACTTACGTGGGAGGATTTCGATTAGGACCATAACACTGTTTATAATCAAAATCGATCGAAATTCCACCAGAAACACATAGTAATGATGATTATCCATGATAATTTATTTCAACAAAAAGGACAAATCGACATGTCATCTTTATTTATAGTATATTGTGTCAAATGATGGTCACAATATTCACAAAATATCCTACTTCTAACATCATCTCAACAACCATTTTTAATACAAAAATCATCGTATTAGTCAATTTTAAAACAAAAATCTATGTTGAACTCTCGTAAGAAAAAACTATAACAATAATGTGTTTTCATTATCACATTTTTCAAGTGATCTTCTTTCAACAATCACCCCTCAACAAATGAAAAATTTTGCATAACCACTTACATCTTCAATAATATAATAAAAGTTTGTGTTCAATCTAACTTCACTCTTATCGTTAATCTGTGGTTTTCTTTTCACATATTAACTTTCTGTTACCACTAAATGATCGAGATTTCTGAGAGTAAAAAGGAATGAGAATGTTCCTTAAAAAACTCACATTATTTATCACAAATCATATTTCAAACACAGTATCAATTTTACAGTACAAACATTTTTTTTAAGGATTCGTTTTCAATTCGGTTGGATGGGTCAGAAAAAAAAAACTCGGGTGTGACTTCGAAATCGGAAATTTCTCAGCATTTTCTTTTGTTCGAAAATTCTCGGAATGCAACGAATGCGATTTTTCAAGTGGGCCCAATTCGGACAAAACACATGAAGTAGACCCAAATATATTGTTTTGGGCCATTAATTGGTGGTGGTTGCGAAAGTATACCAACATCTTCTACTGTAATCTCTTCAAAATTAGTCACTCAAATGTGGCACTCAACTCAAGTATACACTATAAATATCCAAATCATAATAATTATTTTCTTTTTCAAGTTCCCTATACATAGTTTAACCATACATGTTAAAATAATTTAAATAATTATTGAATAAATATTAGAACATACAATTTTTTGAGAATAAAAGTTTTAGTTTTTAATTAATAAAAAATATATAATGATAAATGATTTTTAATTATAATTTTTTTTATCCTCGTATTTTGTTGTCACCCTTATTCGCATTATAAATAGCAGACATAAAAATGGAAATGATTTAAGAACATTATATATATATATATATATATATATATATATATATATATATAATATAATTAAAACTTCAAAAATATCTAAAAATATTTTTTAGGTATAAATAAAATTTAATCATTATATTTTTTTCATAAAAAATAATAACAACTGTTTATTATAATAAATATTATTTTCATTATCTCACACATTTTCTTATTTATATATTTTTTATCCTTTTTTTATATTTTTTTCTCTTAACTTGCTTTTTTTTCTCTCAACTTTATACTTTCTTATATCATCATACGCTCATCTTTATCTTACAGTATAAGCATTGAAAGTGTTTCTCTTTAAATTTTTAAATTGTTACTTTCTCTATAACATGAAGATTGTATTTTATTTTAAATTTTTTCTTCTGTTGATGATAGAAACATAAAGTATTAGAAAAAAATAAAATAATAAAAATAAATAAGACTTAAAATTGTCAATAATAAACTAAAATTCCCTACAGAACAAATACTTTTTGACACACACAATAGGACGGGTGAACAAAGGCTTATTAATAAATAAGAATACATCCCAATTAATTTAAAAAATTGTTTAAAATTCAAACTAGTAACTAATTCCAACACTAAAATAATATTAAAAGAAGCCATATAACTAAAAACACTTAACTTTTTTGTAATGTGATATTTTTTAATGTTAAAATGTAAAAAATTAAATAAATAAATTAGATTGATCTTTAGATATATCTAAGAAAAAATTAATAACATATTTGTTAAGAGAAAATAAAGTATAAAAGATGAAATAAATTCTATAGTTTACGGATTTAAATTATTCGTTGAATAATGTTGAAAATAGATATTTGGTTTTTATATTAATATTAAATATATGTGAGTTATATTTTTTATAATTTTATATAATAGATTTACGTTTTACCTTTAATGTATATATATTAGTCAGTATAAATTTTTTGGTTTCGTTTCTCTCTCTGTATATAAAAGAGGTCTTCTTACTATTGTTTTTAAATGTTTTTCTTTTCCGTTAATAAATAACGATGTAGTTTTATATTTTTGTCTTTACCATTTCCATTTCGAAACTAAATTGGTTTATACTTTCAGGATGATTATGTCTACTCATTTTCAAATGATTTTATTTCCAAACATGCTCAAAGTTGTTTCACATCAATGTTATTGATAAAACATCATCTACAGTTTTTACTTGTTTGATAGTGTACAACGTTAATATTTTGCTATGTTGGAATTTCATCCAAAATATTAGACATGGTATCTGAACACATTTTATGTAAAGATGAGATAAACCATTTAAATTTTACTTTACGATTATAGAAAACACTCTATAACTCATATAATATATGTCTCAACAATTCTTTTTATATCATAATTATAAATATCATTGAATGTTGAATGCATATTTGATTCAATTTTATTTCAAACAAAAAGTGTAACATTGATTTTCTTTCACAAAAAATACTATATATTTTCACAATTTAACATTTTTTCTTTTCAATAGTATTAAGTTGACCACCTTAATCATGTTAGTTGAAGTGCCTATAAGATGGTTCATGGTTGCTGCAATTTGAGTGGTTGATGCAACTTCAACTGAAAAACAAATCCCCAACATCTTCCCATCGACTAACATAATGCGATCTCCATGAACGACTTGCCTCCTATCTAATCCGCATTTTATATATAAATATATATAACAAAAGTTGCATGCATAATCATGTCTTACCCATTACAAACTTGTCACGCCACAACGTGATGCTTGGAAGATTATATATACGACTAGTCCTGCTTTCTTTATGTAGAGGAAATTAATTACATGCATCTGAAATCGCTACCAAAGAAGAATTATGGGAGAATTAGGTATCAGAAAAGGTGTTACAAAGCAAGGGGTCAAACCCGGGAAGGCTACCATATTAGCTCTTGGGAAGGCTTTCCCTCATCAGCTTGTCATGCAAGAGTATTTAGTAGATGGATATTTCAGGTGCACAAACTGTGACAATCCTGAGCTTAAGCAGAAGCTCAGTAAACTTTGTAAGTACATACAGAAAGTCTTCACCCTCCTTTTCTATGTATATGTAGGGATAATTGTGATTCATTGTCAAGTGATTTGTGCACTTGTTCTCGCGTAAGTTTGGATTATAGTTAGCAAACCATGTTTGGAAACCTGAAATCGTGTTTAACTGTACGTTTGAATAACTTCATTTTGCAAACAAAGTTTTAAAAGCAACCCTCATGTTGCTTCCGTTTGAAAGTTGGGTTGAAGTCAAACCTGAGTTTAATAAGATAAACCTCAGGGAAGGTGAATGAGACACTGACTTTGGCTTAATGTGGTATAAACAGGCAGAACAACCACAGTGAAAACAAGGTACGTGGTTATGTCAGAGGAAATTTTGAAAAAGTATCCAGAACTTGTGGCTGAAGGCATCCCCACAGTGAAGCAGCGGCTAGAGATATGTAACGAGGCAGTCACAGAAATGGCCATAGAGGCTTCACAAGCTTGCATCAAGAACTGGGGTGGATTGTTATCAGACATAACACACTTGGTTTATGTGTCATCCAGTGAAGCAAGACTACCCGGTGGTGACCTTTACCTAGCGAAAGGACTAGGACTGAGTCCTGATACTCAACGAATCATGCTCTATTTCGCAGGTTGTTCTGGAGGTGTGGCTGGCCTACGCATTGCAAAAGACATAGCTGAAAACAACCCTGGAAGTCGGGTGTTGCTTGCTACTTCAGAAACTACAATTATTGGGTTCAAGCCACCAAGTGCTGATAGACCCTATGATCTTGTTGGGGTGGCACTCTTTGGGGATGGTGCTGGTGCCATGATAATTGGTTCAGACCCAATATTGGAGTCAGAGAAGCCTCTCTTTGAGCTTCACACGGCAGTTCAGGAGTTTTTGCCTAAAACTGAGAAGATAATTGATGGGAGGCTGACAGAAGAGGGGATAAGCTTCAAGCTAGCAAGGGAACTTCCTCAGATAATTGAAGACAATGTTGAAGGATTCTGTGACAAATTAATGAGTGTGGTTGGGTTCCAGAATAAGGAGTACAACAAGTTGTTCTGGGCTGTCCATCCAGGGGGGCCTGCTATCTTGAATCACATTGAGAAGAGACTTGATTTGTTGCCAGAGAAGCTGAGTGCAAGTAGAAGGGCTCTAATGGATTATGGCAATGCTAGCAGTAATACCATCGTGTACGTGCTGGAGTATATGATTGAGGAGTGTCTCAAGATTAGAAGAGATGGCAGAGGAGATCCTGAATGGGGCTTGATACTTGCATTTGGACCCGGAGTTACATTTGAGGGAATTATTGCTAGGAACTTGTGTGCTTGAAGTCTCACATAAGTGTGATGCAATGCTTATTGTGAATTATTGTCACAGCTGTGTTTATGTGATACATGACTTAATCTAAATCAAATTCAATACTTCAACGGCTCAAAGGAAAACACTTCCAAGAATACTTTATCTACAGAATCCAATAAAAGCTGTGATAAGATGACTCCCTACATAGCTGATGAGTGCATGTTTATCAGAGCACTTTTACTTTATATAACTCCAAGCGATGGAAAATATTAGGATGCTACAAAATAAACATGGAAAGGGTCAATTTTGAGAAAAGAAAAAGAAAAAGAAAAACAATGATAATTTGTTAAGTATTACTTGTGAAATCTCGGACTAAAGCAGGAAATTTTTCAATCTTTATCATGCATTCAACAGGAGAATTAATACCAAATAAAAGAACAAATTTTAAATTTCCAGGGGCGCCATTAGAGAAATAGAGTAAGGATTCATTTTGGGAAAAGCAAGTTCCTGCGAGTTTAGTTTTGTGTGCACAGATAGTTTACCTTTTATCTAAAAATGGTTATTGTTAAAATATTGCAGGAAGATTTTAAATCGAAAAGCTGTTATGGACTTTTGGACATATTTCTGTTTATTATAACCCAACTACTAAAATTCTGTTTAAACCAATTTAATCACCAACAATGTTTTTAGCTGTCGTCATGAACACTGACTAATATGTTGTTATCTTGATTTTACTTTCTTTGATTTTGCGCTATGCACGCCGATTTAAAATCTAAGAAAGCCCCAAAAAGAGAGAAATTAGAAACTGTATGCAACCATTTCCGTAATGTTAAGGTTTAAGATAACATCTATGCACTCAACAACTTGGATTTGTTCCGTGCAATGACACCATACATAAAACAAAGTATCCCACAGCATAAATATCTCCCAGGTAGGCAGGATTCGATGTAAAACATTTTGGAGACCGCACATGGAATAGTTATAAAAAGAACTAAATTCCAAGAGTCCAAGCAAACTTAAAATGTGTCAGGTTCTGTAGTGTGGTGAACGAATGTTTTTTCAAGCTAAAGGAACTACAACTTTTCGTGGATTCAAGATTTCTGAAAATTCATTTTTGTGGTGACATTACGGAACCCCACATACACCTTTGTAAAGCACTTCCAACTATAAATAACCGTAGTACCTTTAACATAAATATACTTAGTTTTCTTTCATCCCCAACTTTACACTCCACCAAAGAACCAAACAAGTGAGCCAACACAAAATGTACTCAGACAAGGGTAACCCACCGCAATGCCTAATTAAGTTAAAATAAATGTGACAGCGCACAACAAAGCATGTCTTCAATCACACCACTCCAGAGGGAAGACGTAGAACAAGCTGTCCCCCGAAAACACTGCAATTAAAAAAAAAATAAACATCACGAGGTCAAATATACAAGAAAAATGCTGATGTAGTATCTTGAGAAACTATGAGCAAAAACATTAAACGAATCCCTGGGAAAAAAGAATTTCATTAGAAACTAAACCAACCTTTTGACGTAATAGTAACAGAAATCTGCTAAGATGAAAGTCTGGACAATTTCTGAGATAAGAACCATTGATGGCCATAAACCATACCCCAAGGCTACCAACAAATGCCCTCGGCTATCTAACACCTGTTGAAAGAAACAGAAGTTGGTAGGAGACCAACAGTTAGAGAATCAGTAACGTATGTCATTAAAGTAACAAACCAGTAACAGCAGCAATCATGTAACTGTTACCGATCAAATTGGTTTTAACTCAATTTAGAAACTCAGAAAATATCAACATTCAAAAGGAAAACTAGATCCAGGCAGAGCACATGGCCTTGAATGACTGAATTTTCAAGTTTTCATGATCATACCTGAAGAACCCAATGTGCACAGCTCAAGAATCTTGCTACACCCAGTGCAAATACGTAATGAGCTGTGAATGGCTCAACAATCTAAAAGTGTAAAATGAAACGGATAGATAGAATTAGATCTCATACACAGAATGTTGAACATGGACTCTTAAGAAATAATACCTTGGTGTTCTGCATGACCCGCAGTTGGGGCAGGACTGAGACAGCTTCCAGATATACACAGAATGCCCACGAAATCCTGTTCAATAAATGATGAGAAGTTGATGGATGAATAAGCAACGCTAAGACAGCACAGGGTATCACCTGCATTCAATTCAAAAGTAAAAAACATCAAGCTGACTCTGGTTAAAGGTAAAATTTAAAAGTTACAAGAAATGAAAGAGAAAATAACAAACATATACAAAGGAATAAGTTAAATCTTTCAAAGTAGACAGAGGAAAGGAAGAAAGAGGGAGTAAAAGGAAAGCCACATTATTTATATGGTCCGCAACAGTTTTATTTGATGCGATGGCACCTGCCTTTATCAAAATAAGAGCATGTCGTAAGTCATACGTATAGAACACCCCAACCCCACTCTAGTGTGGGGCAATAGGACAAGTTTCAAGTTTTTCCTTGCAGACTTTGTCACTGGCATTAGAAATTAGTAATGGGAAGTCCATTTCACATGATAACTTGCCATCGTGTCAGGGGAAACGGTTGTCCATTTGACTCTACAGATCCAGATTTTCTATTCTTATTCATGATGAAGGATGTTTGCATTGGTATCAAATCGATAATATGACTATTTCAATAATTAGAAAACAATTTTGGGGAAAGTTGAATCTATGCTCCCACCTCCCAACTAATGTCTTAATGAAATTGTGATTCTGGAAATTGTTAATATCTAAAGACACTATATGAAACTCTAAATAATATGGTCAAGTTTCCAGCTCCAGCAGAAAGAACAAGAAAAAATGCTTCACCTAGAAGAACTAAAAAAATGTCACAATCTTTTGAAAGGACAAAATAGATGGGGGTGGGCTTCTAATCTTAGGACGAAACAATAGGTGGAGGTATTGAAGCTTACCACGTAGTATATTGCAAAGTTATCCTTCTCCTCCATGTAACTAGCCTTCAGCTTAAAACGAATCATATATATAACCCACAGTGTTGTTATGAAAGTAGCGAAATCAAGTATGGTGTGGATATCATATTCCATGACAAAACTGCAGTAAAGCCTAACAGCCAAAAAGATAGCTGTTAATTCCTGGGATTTGAGTGATAACCCTGTTCATAATTCAAAACCATTAGAAAGATGTATCTCTGTAGCATGTTAAATAACAAAAGACAACACATTGAATTGATTGAGCCAAAACACACATAAATCAAAATCAGCAAAACAAAGATTGTCAAAGTAAATTAAGCATTGCAAAGCATAAAAGAAAACAACAATCATTAAAAAAAAAAAGTCAAAAATTGGTAAAAGAAATCTAGATGGATTAAATTAAAATCTGAAGAAACCAGTCCAAAAATTGAAGTTTCTAATTTTATTTTCTGAGCATTCAATTTGATATTTGAGCAGTATAAAAGATCAAGAGATAGAAAATGAAAAAAGCTGTGAGATTTATACCAGCGCAAGTCTTCTCCTTCATGAGCTTATAGATGAGGACTGAAATTCCGAGGGAGTGGACAGCTTCGGCAGCAACGAAGAGGTTGTCGTGGTCGTGGACGATGAAACGGAGGAGGGCAAGAGCCGCCATGCCGGAAACGACGGCGAGAAAAGCCTTCACCTTTGGGGGTTGTCGCCTCACCCATGACGAGACGGCGTGGATCGACGTTCTCTGAGGTCTCATGAGGTAGCTGAATCAACTTTCTGGACACCCAACACACGCACCCTCGCTATTCGCTAAACTACAACCAACGTTGGATTAGAACGAACACACCAAAGAAGACCCCAATGCCAAAACGAAGACACAAGCAAAACAAAACGCGATTGATGTTTTTTTCTTCTTTTTTTTTCTTTTCTCTCCCCCAAAGTTTCCACTCAAAACAGATTGGTGGATGGATCTTGCAATTTCTCGACAACAGGTGCCCTAAACCCTAAGCATATATATTATTATTTTAAAAAATCATATAAATTTTTCTATTATATAAAAAAATGTAAAAAAAAATAATCTATCATGCATTAAATACGAATAATTTTCTTAAAATTATGTTGAGTAACTATTATTAAATGAAACTTTTCTTGTTTACATGTTTTAATTTGATTAGTATTATTTAAAAAAAATATTTTCTTTTAACCTTAAATCATGCTTTTTTTGTCCGCACACATGATCTTTTTAACACTTAATGTTATCGCTACAAGTATTTATTAAATTAATATCTTAATATTTTCTATCGTCATTTTTTGACTTTATAGTCAATTGTAATGAGTTTAAAGATATAACGAAAACATTTTGTTAATACAATTAAAATAATAACAATAAATTAAGTTAAAGAAAATTTTGAAATATATAATTTAATAAGTATACTGTTTAATATAAATAAGGTAATTTTATATATTAAATTAACTTTTTTTACTTAATACTTTTAGTTTAACATATATATATTTTATTAAAAATAATTAAATTTTTACTTATAGCTTATAATTTATGTATAATAAATTAACTTTGATATTATAATATTGAATTATCATAGAATATTAATTTTTGATATTATAAATGTGATGGATCTTGGAACAGCAACCTAGCGAGCACGAAGTAGCAATGGACCAGGTTTAGCATTTACGGGCCTGTTTCCGAATGGTCGTCCATGAAAATACTCGCATTCAAAATAAATATTATTGTAAGAAAATTATAAGCTCTAAGCAAAAGACGTTTAATTTTAATTTTTTACATATATTTTTTTCTTAACTTATTTTATCTATATATATATATTTTTTTTTCTCTACATTTTCATCCAAAACTATAGTAATGATTTATTAAGAAAATTATAAATTATAAATTTGATGTTGTGTAACAAATATTTTATTTCCATCATTATTAGTTTAGAGCTTTCAATAAAAATTGTAAAAACTTTGTTGAAAAATATAACTGAAAATATTTAAATTTAAAAGCCAATAAAAATTTTGGTTTTGTGAAATTAGTAGGAGAAGAAAAATTATTAATTAATTTCTGGGATGATTCTTGATTTGATTTTTTTAAAATTAAATATATACGAAATTATTTTTTTGTGTAGAAGTATTTTTAATTGATTTTACTAATCATGTCTACACATGTTACATTGTTTAGACTGTTGAAATATAATATATATTGATTTTTTTTTAATTATAGTGTGTCTTGAATAGATCTATAATTATGATAAAAGAAATAAGCTAGGTGATAAAAAAAATCTAAAAATATTTAGATTAATTAAAAAAGGATGGCATAATAATATTAACAATAAAATATAAATATATAGTTTTTGGACTTTAATTAAAATTTTATACTTTATTAAAACTAAATATGAAAACAAAATATTAAGCACTGAAAACAAAAATTATCAAGTACATGCCTTTAAAAATCACAAATTTGTTATAGTTATTCATATAATAATACATAAAAGATGCACAAATCCCAACCTTCAAAAGTCAAACATACTACATAAATGACACGCATTTTCATAGTATTGAACAAAGATAAAAGAAATTAAAGTGTGTATTTTTATTTTTTTTCCTAAAGCATGTGTTTATAAAAAAATAAAAGAGTGTTCAACAAAGAGAAAATAAATAAAGGTTGAAAAAAATTTTGTAAACTTATTAAATTTTATATTTTGTATAACTTTTTCTTTCAATTTATGTGCCATTTAATTGTATTTTTACAAAATCAGATAACAAAAAAAGAAAATATTAAATTACAACTATGAAAATCTTATAAAAATGAGATTTGATTTGAACTGAAATTGTGGGTAGAAAGAGGTTGTCTTCGGTTCCAAATGAAAACTGCCAAAAGAATTGTTTGTGACAAATTGAGATTACATAATGTTAAGAACCAAGACTTGCTTTGGTCCTCGCAATGCGCATCATGAATACGTGCTCCATGACCCCACAATTATGATAACATCGTCATTCTCACAGAATATGATGGCCTCATAGATAATATAAAAACACTAAATGCGTACCAAATTTTGTGTGGAGGACAAATAATGGCAAGTATATAATATTATGTTCGTTCGTTCCTTTGTGTTGAGATTCCCTTTGATTACTTCATAGAATAAAACTCCATGGCCCTTATGATTGTATACATGCTTTTGACTTGATCTTTCTCAATCTCTTCTTCTATAACAAACCTTCATTCTTCTCTCGCTATTTTCTCAGGCCTTCAATGGGTTACTATTACTGTAAACCAAGGCCTTGTGATGCTCGTACTCCCAATGTTGTTCTGATCTTGGTCCTGGCTTTGATTCTTCTGTGTGCACCAAAGCTCTTCTCACGTGAAGAGGAAGAAGAAACCAATTCCACCTCACCTTTTGTCGCATTAATACTCCTAGTACTCATTCTGCTTGTGTTGTCCTTGTTGGGAACTTCAAGGAGAAAGGTTTCTGTGAAGCCACCATATTGTCAGTGTACGTATGCCTGCTACTGTTACAGATAGTGATACATCTTCAAGCTTAAGAAACAACATGTGTTCAGAACTCTGAAACTTTTAAACCGATCGAGATGAATGGTATTGTGTTCTATGTTATTTTTACTATTGTCGATGATGATGATGATGATGAGCATGTCATTTTTACTATTCCATGTTGTAGGTATACAACAATTGTTGTTACTAATGTATTACCAGAGTAATTATAACGTTCTGACATTATAATTAAAGGTGTTTGTTGTATTCTACGATTGAATGTTCTTTCAGTTAAGTGAAAAAGGAAATTATATGTAAATTGTTATGCTATCTGGATATAGAAAGAGTAGAGTTGGAAGAAATGAATTCTGTTTTTGCATTGCAGTTTGCTTGTATATGGTCAACTGTAGGAAAACAATCACAGACTGTGATGTATTAAAGTGTCCAATTTGTTGATGATAAGGCCAATTATTAAAACTTATAAACAAAAAGGTAACTGACTTAAGAAAACTACTACATCTAAAGTAGTTTGATTTTACTCAACTAGGAACTCTTAACAATGCTAGACTTTATTATTGAGAAAGAGTGAAGGGGGAAAAGGTTGTCTTCATGTTTATAGAAGGTAATGGCCCATATGTCCCCACACTAGCTCCATTATTTTTTTATGATAACTATATTTAATCAGTATCAGTCTTGAACTGCACAATAAGCACAAGATAAATTTTAAAATCGTTCTACTATTTTCAGGAGGAAAAATCAAGTTAATTAGAAAGGGGATAAGTTCAGAATTTTTTTTATTTTTATTTTTAAAAGCAGTGGATAGACGAGTAATGTAATTTCGATTCGTTATTATTCTTGTATCTGTCTTAGTTTTTTTATTTAAATTTAAATCTTAAAATATTAATACTTTAAAATATTTTATTTTGTTCTCACATTATATATAAAATATTTTTTTTACTTTTAATCTTAAATGAATCACTTTATTATATTATTATCTCTTTTTCTTATCTTTTACTTTTTTTATATTTCCTTAATTTTTTTAATAAATTTGATAAATAGAAAGTTATTTTTTATCCTTATTTAAATATTATACATCAATATTAATAATAACTAATATTATTTTATTTTTAATTTATCTTTATTAAATTTTATTTTTTATTTTTATTTGTTATATATTAAATTTTATTTTAATGAATAATTATATTTTGATAATTAAAATTTATATTATTTTGAACTAATTAAATAAAAATTAAATTATTAAATATTTTATTATAAATTATATATTTCATATTTATAAATATTTTAAAATAATATAATATATAATAATAATAACACTAATAATATTATAAGTATTTTATATTCATATAAAGAAAAAAATCAAATATTATTTTTATATAATTTTTTAATACAAATATAATAAATTAAAAAATATACTTAATTAATAATAATTAAAAATGATTAAATTATAAATATTTATCTTTTATAAAAACTACATGAAAATATTAAAATTAATTTATTATAAATATAATTATTTTTTTTAAATAATGTAAAATAAAAATAGATCAAAAGAATTTAAAATTTAATCAACTAAAATAAGTACTTAATTTGTAACCTTAACCAGAATTAAAACAAGACGGAATAAGAAATGATTAAAAAAAAAAAAAAAAAATCAAGACGTGAGGAGGCACACTCTCCCCCGTTATCATGCCTAAATGACAAGTTGGAGTTGGGGATAGACATTTAAAACTAGTTAAAAATGCAAACACTGGTTTTAGAGGAAATAACTTTTTGTTGAACATACTGCATATGCTATCACTTTAATGGGATGTGGACGAAAGAGACACCTCAGAAAATCATACTTTTGATTTAAATCTGTATCAGCTTTTCTTTCTTCTTCTTTTTTCAAGTGCATATCTTGATACCAATATAAATTCTTTCAAGAAAAAATAACTGCTGCAAATAATAAAACTTTTCCGAAATATGATTTATTTATATACAAAACAATAAATTGTTTATGTTTCAAAATCTTCATCTCTAATTTAAAAAATATATATTACAAGACATTACATTATAATGTAAAAATTCACTTTCTTACTATGTTTGTATAAATAAGACTTAAATTAATTTAACATATTTTTAGTATAATTTATTTTATTAAAATTAGCTTAGTATGATGTTAAAGCGAGAGAGGTGCTCGCGCCTGACAGTAACTGAAAGGTGTCTTCCTACAGCATGCAAAATGGGACAAAGCTTATCATAATGGCCCTTCACAATCCAACCAATCAGGTCAAAATCAATTAATTGAAACTCTGAAAAGAACACCATATATTTGTTTTGGTTTGTTGTAGCATATTAAACTTCTTCAATAAGGAAATTCTATCACCCTTTTGTTCAACTATTCAGCATGTTGTACTTTATTCATCTCATTTACCAAACAGTTCCGAAAATCATACTATTACAACTTAGTTCCACAAGTAGACCACTCACCAAATCACACACTCACAACTCTCTTTAATTTTCTCTATAAAAAATAGTCCTTTGAGCTTATCACTTCTGAATTCCAATATCCAAAAGACCATCCAATTCAATGGCTTATGGTAGAAGCAGAACGTCCTCTGCGTTGGATGGCTTCACTCTGAATCCCCTGCCATACCCCGTTCTATTAGTCTTAGCACTGATATTCCTCTTCTTTGCCATATCATGGTACTTTACCTATGAAGAAGTTGTTGAAACTGCTGAAAAACAATTTGGTTGGGTACTATTTGCCACACCAGTGGTGCTAATACTCATAGTTCGTTGGTTATCATCTATGGAAAATTCAAATTGGTTCTCTGCTTCGTTACCGTGGGAGAGTCGCATGAGAACCCACCAAGGCCCTTCGGAAGGAAGCTCTCCGTGGGGTGTGGCTGCTTTGATCCTGGTGTTGCTGATAATGGTTCAATACCAATCCAACTTTCTCGATAGCTGGTTTGTTTGATTTAGAAATTTTATTTTGTTTCTGTATAGGTTGGTTTTACTTTTCTGTGATTTGATCTTTGCTCTTAACTTTGAGTCAGTGTAAAAATCCTTTGATTATTGTAATTATTAAATATGTACATACAGATGTGATGCTGCTTGTGTAAATATATGAATCGTGTTCAAGGTGATTTTCATGTTTATGTGTTCCTTCGACAAAGATGAAACTGAGATTTTAAGTTTTTCTCAATTTTTTTGTTGAATAAGAGGTTGCTGCTTGCATATGTTCTTTGAAGTTAAAGATGATTAAAGAAGCTGTTAGAATTGTAGGCTGAGGGGGTGAATTAATCTTTGAAATATTTTCGCAATTTATAAAATATAGATTATCTATTTCAAAGATTTAGAGTTCTAATGACCTTTTGAATCAAGAAAAACAAACAATTTAATATAAGACACCGACATAATTAAAGAGAGTAAAGGTTTAGAGAAATACAACCAAGATTTATACTAGTTCACCCAAACTCCGGGGCTACATTCAGTTCTCAGTCAAATTTCAACTGAGTTACACTAGATTAAATGTATTACAGATCTGAATCACACAACACTCAATCTACCACAAGAACCAAGTTTCAGTTCTTGCACCTAAACCTTCACCAAAAACCAAGTTCTAGTTCTTGAACCAACCTGCAGTCAAATTCCAGCTACAGAACCAGTGTTCAAACACCTATAATACAGTAAAGATTAAAAAACAAACAAAGAGAAGAAACTACAATAATCAAACCCGGATTATGCAGCTCCTGCAGTATGAGTTTCTTCACAAAAAGAAAACAAAAATGCCTCACGAAAGAACTTTGTAAAACTCCACAAAATTTGCACAATTCTTTCTTGAAAATCTCTCTTATGATTATTTGATCGATTGCTAAAAGATGTTTTAAAACTCTGAAGCAATCTTGTTTATATAGAGATGTTTTTCAACTGTTGGTTTAATTAATCGGTTAAAACTTTCTTTTAATCGATTATTAATTCTTGATTAATCGATTAATTCATCTTTTAATCGGTTAAAATGTGCTTAATTATTTTCCAGATTTATTTTAACTGATACGACTACGTTTTAATCAATTAAAACAGTTATACAAAATTTTTTTAAGTTGTTTTAATCGATTAATTCGCGTTTTAATCGATTATAATTACGTCAAACTTTTTCTCAAAACTTAATAAGTGATTTTAACTGATAACAACAAGTTTTTATCGATTAAAACACTTTACAAAAATTCTCTTAAGTTATTTTAATTGATTAATTCGATGTTATATTGATTAAAATTTTGGCAGAACACTTTCCAAAATATTTCAAGTGATTTTAATCGATTAATTCGAAGTTATATCAATTAAAATACTTGACAAAACATTTTTCAAAACATTTCAAGTGATTTTAATCGATTAATTCAAAATTATATCGATTAAAATACTGATAGAAAACTTTTCAAAACATTTCAAGTGATTTTAATTGATTTCGAAGTTATATCGGTTAAAATACTCGTGAGAAGATTTTCAAATACTCCTTTAATAAAAAAATAATCGATTATTTCGAAAGTGCATCAATTAAAACAACTCTAGTATATGTTTTAAATGATTTTAATCGATTATTTCGAAAACCTATCAATTCAAAACTTTGTTTTGAATGTTCTAACCTTATTTTAATTGATAAAGCTTATATAGTATCAGTTAAAATTATTTCTTAAGAACATTTTAATAGATTACTTTGGTTTTTAACATATTAAAATATTTTCGGAGGTATTTTCAAATTCTTTTAAATGGTCAAATCTCATGCAAGAGAGATATAAATGAATACTTATTGATGATGACTCACTAAATAATCTACCCTTAAACCTAAATAGTCTTTGACTTCATCAAATTTACAAGATTTTCATTTTATCATAAAATTCAATAAGATCTTCATCATTTCCAGTGATATCATATTCATGACAAAATAAAACAAGTATTTCTAATAGATATACTTGTGCTTTTGATATAAAATAATTAAATTCATGAGTCTTTCAACAAGCTTGGTTACTCGTACCAGTGTTTTTTTTTATTAAAGTTACTATTAATGGTAACTCCCAAATCAATTCAAAAAAATAGAAAGTTTATAAATGGGGACAAATTTTATTAATGAGTAACTTTGAATTTAACATTACCCTTTTATACAAATCAACTTCAACCGGAGATTTGAAGAGAGGAACAGATGAAATGCATAACCAATTACTGCAACAACAACCGTTGAATTTCTACATGGAGATCAAATTCCATTTTTTATTTTCACAAGTGAGAAGACTACAAATTAATTTACATAAAGAATATAAGCAAATATTCAGTAATGTTACCGATTTATGCGTGTATGTATATGACTTGCATATGAACAAAGAACATAAAATTTCTGACAAAAGTTCCCCTATAACTGTGTTGTGTGGTAATACCATATAGAATTTGTCACCTTCGGAGAGATCCTAAAAACCAATTAGAATAAAATAAAGATCAATAACAAAGTGATAACAATGGAAACAGTAGCTGCAAGATTCAAAGGAGATAAGGCAGTTGGTTGGAGTGACTTGTTCCTCGAACGCATGAAGCAAAAGTTGAGCCTTCCACAGGGGGAATATGAGAGTAAGAGTATCAATAGTATGGGCGAAAGAAACAAGAATAACTGAAAGGAGAGGGCTATGTGATTCTGCTGAGCCTTGTAGGTGTTGTAATGGGAGAGCCACAACAAACTAAGGACAATGCCAAATATCACAAGTAAGTGAAGATTTGGAGAAAGAGAAGCAGTTTCCATGGTCTGCTCTGCCAATGTGCATACCTGTTTCCATTCTGCACTTTTCCTCTTCGAGTAGAACCACCCCATTATTCTCTCTTTCTTTGTCACTCAATGCAACATGCAGAGCAGTCTAGACTATATCACAAGCACACTAGGTTGTCCTATAGGGTTTATATAAGCTTCTTTAGCTTCGGATATCAGACTTGCTTTGGCATATATTCGTTGAGTGCAACTTGTCCAACCACCATTTTTTTTTTCTCTGTACTAGTAGTGCTTATAAATTTAGTTATTTTATCAATCATGTTATTAATTTTATTTTATTTCTTATCTTTATAATAATCAAAGAACTAGGACGCTTTTCATAATATTTTGGATAATTTTTAACCGACGGTATTCAGAAATATTTACATTAGCAGCACAACAATCACGCGTTGAACTAGATTGATGGAACAGAATATAGTAATCTTCTGGACGCGTAATATTGTTCTAATATTGGTGAGGATTATGTATTTTCTCGTAATATAGTTTTTAAATTTGTTCAGCCACCCTTTTTTATTTTAAAAAGATCGAAATACCAAATTAAAAACTCGTTGTTTCACAAGTAACGAACCATACGACGCTTGAGTCTGTTAGAAGTGGGCACACATTAATTATTCTCTTCATTTGATCAGGCTAATCTTCTCATTTACAGCCAACAAAGAGAGTATAGTAAAACGTCAGACTGCTCAATAAGATTTTCTACTTACCTCAGAAACGCCAATACTAGCTTTTATTTCTAATCTTGTACAAAAAAAAAATAACCTATCAAATAGATTTGATGTTGTGTAAAACACTTGAATTTTACTCAATGAACAAAAAGAGAAAACTTTCAAAGAGTGTCCCTGCGTGATGGAATTAGATCTATTGTTTAGTACCATTTCAAGATTCAGTCAAGATTCCAATGAAAGATAGTAAGTTGGCTCATTAGCTGCTCCATTCATGATGCAGACATCAAGGTTCAGACCCATGATGAAATGAAGTCCAAGATCTAATAGAAGACTTAGGAGGATCCTTTACAAGAGAAAGTTAAAAAGACTCATGAAACATTGGAACAAATGGTGATTAATGTGATGGAAGTCTGTCCAATGGAGTGATATATGCCTAATTTGAACCCTAAACCTCAAACTTAACTATATCTCATGTATCCACTGAGAGAAGTTACATATACTTAAAATACTAGGAATTTAGTTTTCTTTTATTTGCCTTCAGAGGCGAAAGAACTAATAATATTTATAATTTTGAAATTGAATAAAAAGGACAGAATGTTATTTATAAACACTCTGGTTGAGTTCTTACTTAAACCATCAATCTTATCAAGAATTATTCTAGTTTTTGTGACAATCAAACTGGCTTATCAAATTTTCAATTTGTGGCACCTTTGTTGTTATCGTTTTATCATTTTTTTATAAGTCTTCTTCTTCCTAAAATCGAATTTAGATCATTTTGCTGCTTGTTCCTGTTTTGATTCTAATTAGGTCTATCTTACAAAATAATAAGACATTTTCGATGTTTAATACGAAAAAATCGTAATTCAAAATGTCAATGTTTTTTCTCGTTTTAATAACACTCAATTTCTGATCCTAAATAGATCATTTACCCATTCCTGTAGGGAAAATCACGTCACTTCACAAGATGTTTTCTTTCCTTAGCATCCTGGTGCAAGACAGAGCTGTTTACTTGTTCATTGTAATTCTATAACCACGAAACCAACAGCTGTTCGATTAAATTTATTTATTTCCCTCAACAGCTGTCTGATAAAGAAACAAGAATACTGAATGACAAGAAAGAAGAATAAATCTTTCACTCTTACTCTTGGAGTAAATGTATCCCTTTTTATTTTTAAGAAATTACTTCTCATTTTTATCTCTCTCTATTATATCAACAATCATCCCACAATTTTTATATTTTATCCACATCTCTCTTTCTTGTATTAAAATTTTAAACATATATAATGGAAAATTGTTAACCAGTCCAGAATCATCACTTATTTATAGTTCCACAAAGTTGTAAATGACATGTATTTAATTTATATTTAAATTTTATGAGAAAAAACTAATAATATTGCATTACATGTCATGCGGAGATTAATAAGGATCGAAGACATGTTTAGAGGAAGTCCTCCATAAGCTTCTTCTAGAAAAGAAAAATAAAAAGAAAAACTCTCAAAGCTAAAATTAGTATATGCATAAATTAACTTGTAAAAGCTCTCTCATATAACTTCTCTAAACTTTAATTTTAACTTATAAATATGTTAATTTCAGTTAATGGAGAAGTTAATTTCATTTCTCTATTCCTATTTTTATCTTCTAAGAGGACTTATGGAGAAAATCATCCAAACATGTTTATGTAGTTTATAACCAACTAATATTTTTTGTTAACAGCCCAAGTTCCAAAACAACTTTCTTATTGATCAACGTTTATTACAAGTTACAATATAAATGAGGTTTCGTTGAATAAGTATAAAAACAATTTTGGGTTTTTTTAACAAATCTCATACAATAATAGAGTATATAACTAGCATTTCTCACAATATAAATACAACTTCAGGCAAAGGTTAATAGGTGAAATGATTTACACATTGGCCACACCAATCAAGTTGGTTTATCAGCTTCAATTTTGTTCACAAGAAATGCGTTTATAAACAAGACTTGCCAAGCTCTTACCCCGCAAGGAAAAGCTTATTTCTATGGTATTTAATCCTACTTTGAATAAAGTCCTAGTCTGGTAGAGATATCAGAAGAATTTAAAAATAATAATAATAATAAAAAAAAACCCCACGTGACTTATACCTCCAGACAGTAGCAGCAGGTTAAACAATATAAAAACTCCATGATGACTTCAATTCATTCATTAGCCTTTGTGCTCGTGAACTACACTACTTGATGAACTATCCTGAACACTACTAGACGAGGAACACCTACCTAACGAAGTCACAGTGCAACTGCTTTCCTTCCTTGACAACTTGCTAGGTTTTCTTTGTCCAGATGACAAGTCCTGCGAAACCCAGAACACAGATAGAACTTGAATCCAGACCTCTTTTATCAAAGCTATAGCTATAGGTTACAAGACTTCCTTAAAAGCAAAGCAACACTAACCTGGTCTGCAGAAGATCCAGAAGTCTGGTCTGCAGTGACGCCAATTGAATCCTTATGTTTTTCAGTCTTGCTCTCCTTGGATTTAATTCTGGACTCTTGTTTTCCTGAATTGTGGGATTGAAAACCTGGATGAAGAGGTGGAGCTATGTGCTGCATGGATTGCTGTTCAACAAGGGTATTGGGGACTAAATAAGGAACATATGTTGAACAAGGGTTAGGGATGATGGCAGAATGTTGATTAGCATAGAAGGGGTATGGCTGCATGCCAATTGGAGCAGGAGGTATTGCCATTGGGACTGGATATGGATATGATGGTGGAGCTACCATTACTGACTGATCCATTGCAGCCCATGGAGACACAGTCCTGAGCTGTAGCTGATACTGATTATTCAACTTCTCAATATCCGATTTAAGAGAAGCCTTCTCTTCTCTGAGACCATTTTTCTCATGAGCCAACTGAAAATTAATAAAATTTCATTATTTTCTTGATTATTTTATGTCCCGAAAGCATCATGGTGATTCATCAAAGAAAGAACAGAAAATATTACCTCACACGATTCTTCATTTAGTGTAGCATATTCATCTTTAAGTTTACTAACTTGAGAACTAAGGTCCTTTAGCAATTGAATGGTATCACCTATAATGGTTGCTTTGTCATTTTTGGGCCTATCAGGATCTGCATTTCAGAGTCAACATGCAGAGTAATTTAAGAGAAGTGCTGTTTTATCAGTTCTTACTTACCATCAAATGACTAACACATGGATAAGTTCTACAGAATATACAGGGAACAATTTTTTCGATCTAAAGTATTACATATGTAACCTAAAGTAATCTCTGCTACAATACATGTAGTTGAAAATAATTAAACTCCAACCATTGACATTATACAAACCAATGCTAACACTTCCATAACAAGTACAATATGGGTACTGTTAGTTACAACGCTTTAGTTTTTATGAATAGATCATTCAACAAATGTGAACATGGTTGATGGATATCTTAAGTTAGGAATAGCAATAAAATATCAAAAATCCATGACAATTCTTTTAGTGTGAGAATGCGAAATTTGATTTACCTAAAATGTTGCCCAGTACTACAAATTGTTCATTGAGTCGATCCCTTCTTAGCTTTTCTCGGTCAGCCTTTTGTGTCTTTCTTCCAGCGGTACAATCCATTGGTTCAACTTCAGACCTTTGGCAGAAGATACATAAGTTTCAGAAAGAAAAATAGTTTAATCAAAGTTCATATCATTGGTTTCAGCTTTGCAGAATAACAAAAACCAAATTATAAAAAAAGTACGAGAAACTTAGTTTTCAACACATTGTTCAGATACAGGTATTGAATTTAACATAAGTATAACCTAAATCTCAGTAGTTAAGAGCTATGCAAGGTGGTAGTTATAACTTACTAGTAATAAATTACAATTCATACCATGGAGCCATTCCTGTTTAAAAACTCTCCAGAGCTTTTATTTTTCTTCATTTATTTCAATGTTTATGTTGTTCTGTTACTGCCTAAGGAAGAATAGGATCTAGGAACAAGGAAAATTGTCCACATGATAAACTCAGTTTGCGCCACTAAATTTCTCCCAATGTACAATCAATTTAGAACATAGCATTGAAACAGCAGCACAAGACAAAATTCTAAGGAAACAACGAAGTGAGATAAAAATGCTGTACCCAGAATTGGGTTGAAAATGAGGACGTGTAATTGTTGGAAGGAATTCAGAAAAATATATCTGAAGAATGTTTGAAGATGAAAAAAACAACATGAATAGATAGAGTAACTAAGATGAGAGATTTTACCTTGTTATCTACGATTGATGATCTAGAATTTTGCTAATGCCCATTGGTAACATCTACTGTTTCCCCCACTTTCCCTTTTCATCTCTTCTTGTAAAAGTTTTGGAATCGATTCGTGATTCGTAATCACAAATGAAAGTCACTGGCATTGTCTTCAGTGTAAAGTAGCTTGCGGTGTAACACGTACATTAGCATATTCCCAAGGGTTTTTCTTTTTTTTATTTTCCTTCTTTGATGAATACGAAATTTTTGTAGGGATGGCAACGCACGTATGTGGGCCCTTTCTGTTTTGACCGGCCCAGATATGTTCTCTCAGGATGAGTCCGTTCGAGTTTACTAACAAAAACATTAATAGGTTAGTTTCTTCTGTGCAGACTCATGGTTATACTTAATAATATACGCAGAAAATTTGAATTCTTTTATGCAAAGAATGAAAAATTGATTAATAGTTTATGCAAAAAGACTAAGACTTTTTTTTTTTTTTTTTCTCGTAATTGGTTATGTAGAAGTAGAATTATGAGTTGAGATAGTCGATTGTGAAGACACGAACAGAGAGATACGGCGAAACGGCTACTTCCTACAGTTCAACGTCGCAATATGCGTTGAAATTGAAGAGGATATTGATAATCCGTTTTCGGATTCACCTAACCTTTCAATTATAAATATGAATTAATTAAATTTAAATTATTAATTATAATTAAATATTGTAACTTTTTTTAATTTATCTAATAAAAAATTTATATATAAACAAAAATAGCAATGATAATAATAATTATTTTAAACTTCGTTATAATTCATTATTTTGAATAATATATTATTTAGAATAAACAAAAATTTGAATAGTAATAATTATTTTGTATCAACATTTAACTCTTTAATTTAAAGTTACAATTAATAAAAAAAAAAACTACTAACTAATTTATGAAAAAAAAAATCAATAATTTAACTGGTAAATTAGAAACTTAAAAATTAATATGGGAGGTTAGGTTGAGCAAGCTTTTGATTTCGTTATTTACCTGTTAATGATTTCATTACAAATAGAATGGGATGAACAAGTAAACCTTTAGTTTAAAATTTTAAAGGAATGTTTGCAGTTGCATTTGAGCTTGTGTTTGAATTTGTACATCAAAGAAGCTTAAAAAACAAGAGATCAAAGGTTCACAAGTAATAAAAAATAATAATAATAATAAATATATATATATATATATATATATATATATATATTTCTCTAATTTGTAAAAATAAAAGAAAATAATATTTAATTGGTAATTTTTTTTTATATTTTTTGTGTAAGCATTAATGTCAATTTTAATTTAAACAATCACATTTTTTCACTCTTTCTTCTTTCATCTTCTAAAATTATCTCTCAATTCAAACTAAAATATTTTACCAAAAATAAATTTTAGTGTGTTTAGAATTTGGATAAAAAATTTCTAATGAAATAAAAAATAATAATAAACATTTTAAGGATTTTCTTAATTTTATAATAAGAGTTGCATATTAAGAATAAAACCTTTTTTATTAATGTATTTAAAAAAAACTATGATGAATTATAATTTCAAAACAAATAATACATGAATATACTCTAATGATATCAAAGCGCTTAAATTTTGGGACAAACTATTGTGCTGAACATGAACTAAAAATAAAGTTTCAATCCATCATTTCTCTTAATTATCAATTGAGATATTATATTTTAATATATCATCATAATTCTCATACCACTTATATAAACTAATTTATGATCACCTAATTTTCTTTGACCACTTATTAAATATTATATTAATTAAAAATAATGAGAACACTTTGAAAAAAGATTAATTACAAATTAGTAAAAAAAATTATAATTAAATAGTTAAGAATTAACTTGTGACAACTTAGTCTTCAAATTAATGTTGTGTAACTAATTAGATAGAAATAAAATGAAACTTTATCACTTTAATTAGCAAAAATTCAGTGACAAAAATTGCTATAAAATAAAAACAAATGTCCAATTAGTTATATAAATTTAGAGAGAGATTATTCCTTGACTAATTTATAGTTAATCCATCCTAAAACTTATTAACAAAGATTAACTCAGGATAATTAAGAAATATTTTGTAACTAAATATATAATTTTTTTTATAATATTCATTCTCTTTGGTCCTTCACTATAAAACTATGTTTCAAGTATAGTATAAAAATTGAGGTTAAGATAATATATAATTACTCTATTTCCTTAATCCTTTGAATAGATGTTATATCATTTTAAAAAAATCAAATAAGGTCACTTAATTTTGGAAATAAAATAAAAAATTATCAGGAATTTATTTTCTGTTTTACTTATTATAATTTCATTCATGTTCATTTCAAATATATTCATGGCGTCTTATTTAATATATAAATAAATAAATTAAGGTGAAGACAATTATTTTATGATGTTAGCCAAGTAGGATAGTGAGTCAGCATGTGCCACGCAAAACGACCAATGAAAAGCGATATCTCTGACATATAAGCGAATGGAGTACGGCCCGTATGTAAACGACATCGTCCTTGGAAGTCACCTTCTCAAATAGTACCCACTTTACAAATCTGCATTTCAGGGTTGAAGATTCACACGTTGAAATTGGATACCAACACCAACCCTACACCACCATGGCCTCCATCCACAAATTTTGGGTTTTCTCTCTCGCGCTTCTCCTCCTCGCCTCCCCTCTTCTCCAAGGTCTGTATCCCTTTCTTCTAGATCTAGATCTATTTCACCTTCCATCCATGCTTCCTTGCATGTCACGATTATCGTGATTTCTGGTTGGATTTATTTAAAAGATCCTATTTTTACTTTTGTGCTGACTCAATTGTTCTCTTTTTCAACTCCCCTTTTGAGCTCTGGTCTGCTTTTGGATTGTTAATTTTTTATTTTTTTTGGGTTCTGATATTTGTTGGGACCATGTGTTTTCTTCTACTTTGATTGCTTGCTCTCAATTTCTGCTTTGATGTTAGAGAGAGTGAATAGATCGGTTTTTAGTGGTGGGTAATTTATAATCAGGCACTTGACATTTCAATTTTTTTATGATTAGAAGCAATTATCAAAAATATGTGTTCTTTAGCATAGATTTCAAATTTAATTCTGAAGCTAGGTGAAGTGATGGTACGATAATAATTTTATCATCTGATTCTGTTCTATGCACTTAAGTTTTTGTGTTTATGATACTTGAATGTTAAAATCAACATCTTTTTGGCTGGCAGCACGATTCATACACTCTGCTATTTATTGTTTTATTTTCCCCACTGAATCTCTCAAATAATTTGATAGCAATGTTTTCATGTGTTTTGTGCACGGCCCTGATTAGATGTGGTTATGTTTATTTTTTTTCAGTTGCTAGGTGCCAGTCAGTCGCCGATGATGTTGTGGAGACCACCGAAGAATCAAGTGATATTGGCATTGTTGGTGATGATGCCCAAGACTTCGGTGATGGGACCTTGTCTTCCGCTCCAGGAATTGATACAATAAGTGTGTTTCCAAAAAATAGTGCGCGATGTAAGAATCATTCTGTCTAGTGCACTAAAGTATGGTTCGTAAATCATTCTTTTGTCATGTTTGATAGTGTGTTGAATGTCTTTGTTCTTGTAAATTTGCTGCAGTGATAACAGCTGGAGAAGATTCAGAGCTGCTTGTTGGTGTTAAAAATGATGGTAATTCAATCAAAATTGATACTCGATGTTGTATTTTAGCTTGTAATTTGATGCTTAACATTCTTAACTCTTGTGTTCATTACTGATCAGTAGTTAAGCCTTTCATTTGTGTCTTCTAAGTTCTAACACGACAGCATATCTTCATTTTTTGTGATTCTGTTAAATTATTTTCTTATTGATGTATTAGGAGTGTGAAAACAAGAACAGAAAATATAAATATTCATGCACTAGCATCTTATAGCTTATTTTGTTCTTTGTATGGTTTGAAACACAGGGGATTCAAGCTTGAATGTTATTGCAATCAAGGCTAGTATTCACCTTCCTTTTGATCACCGTCTACTGGTTCAAAATCTTACTGCACAGGTAATAAGTTGCTAAATATCCAAATAGAACGTGGTTATTTATTTGTTATCAAGAATTACGCAGCCTGTGTTTCTGTAAAAATTGATGAATATTCTATAGAATTTGGAACCAATACCAGGAATATGTTAGTTAGTATTTGTTTTAGAAAGAGAATTTCAAATTTTCATGAAATTAGTTTGGTTAGTAAAATATAAAATATGGATTGTTTATGTGTCCAATAATTTGAAATAAACCCTTGAAAAGTTAGGTTTTAAAATACTAGAATTGTTAATTTTCATATGACAAGGATTATTTTATTTATGTATTATATTTGGTGAAAGGGAGCATGAGATGTATCAGTGATATTTTCTTTCTTTTTATTTCAGTCGCTGTTGTTCCCCATAAAACATTTGATAATGTGTATGATTGTCAGTTTAATACCCAACCTTCTCAAGTAGTTATGCAAGGCTATATGGGATTGGATTATCATGAACCAATTATGTGGAACTTGGGGTTAATAGTTCATTGCTCATGCTTTTACCTTGTGAATGAAGTAGTTTTATGTGATTTTACATCAGTATCACTCTTCAATCTATTCTGATTCAACATATAAATTCAATTTTTTGTTTTATTGCAGGGTTTCAATAATGGTTCTGTACCAGCCTCAGCACAGGCTACTTTCCCATATATATTTGCAGTCAGTAAGTTCTTGCAGGTATCTTCATTGTTTCAGAGGCCAATGCTTTTAGTTTCTCAATGAGTAACCATCACAAGAGACTATTGTACTCATTATGGCTATTGATTTTTCTGTTATGCAGCCTGGAAATTTTGATCTTGTGGGCACTATTATATATGAGATAGATGATCAGCCATTCCAAAGCACCTTCTTTAATGGCACCATTGAAGTCGCTGAAGCTGGTGGTTTTCTTAGCATGGAATCTGTTTTTCTTGTTACCCTTGGGGCTGCTCTCCTTGTTCTCCTGGGGCTATGGATTCATGGTCAAATACAACACCTATCTAAGGTACTAAAATCATTATTTTTTCAAATAATGTGCTTTCAAGGATTCATTGTTCTTTGCTAATGGTACTCATAAACTCATCATCACCCTTTATTTTGTCTTGATCTATACTAAGACTTTGTACTTGTTTTATTTACGAACTTAAATAAATGTCATTAGATCACGACTCATATTAATCAGTAGCTTAGTTAGAGAAATTCATATTCACATGGCTTTAGGCTATAATTAACTGATAATGGTTGGTGTAATCTTGGTTTGGATTCTTTTTTGGGGAAGGTCTTACTTATCAGATCTTATGCAAATATTTTATTAAGGAAGCCGAAGTCTCCAGCTCTCCTCCCCCCTCCCCCTCAAGCCATTTATTTGCCGCCTTGTTCTGATAATCTGATTCATTTTTGGTCAGAAAACAAAGAGGGCTCCAAAAGTTGAAGTGGGAACTAGGAGCACAGATGCTTCAACTGATGAATGGCTACAGGTTTGTTCTTATGCTTTGTACTTGTTGGATTTCATGTTTGATGTTTTAACCTTTAATGTTACATAATGCATCACTTTATTGCCCTTTATTTTAACACCCAGGGAACTGCATATGCCCAGTCTCTGTCGAGCAAGTCGAAGAAGAAGAAGTAGATAAGCAAATTCTCACGATCAGCCGCACAAGACTCTGCCATGGAATACAGAATCCTGTTACTGACTAGGTTTGAGTTTGAGAGAGCACGAGGAAGTAGTTGTGAAATTTTGGCTGAAAGATCTACCTTTCTTGTTGTAGCTTAAGAATTTTTATTTTTCCCATTCGAATGAAGTTGAGCTTTTTCTAAACTAACAAGGATTTGAGTTAGGAATGATACGACTTTTCAGATGTGGCAGAATTTTTATTAGATAATGTTCATTTTGATTTACGTACATTCTGTGGTTACTGCGATCTTAAGATACTGTTTGGAATCATAGAACATAGGAAGGAAGAACACTCCTTTCAAGGTTTTGCCAAAATTTTGGAAAAAAAATAATGGTGAAATCTTTGTTAGTTTCTAAATAAATGCAATACAATGCGGAAGAAACAAAATCCCTGGGTTTGAGTGCAGTTGGATTCAACGTTGGGTTTCTCCCTAAAACAGTTTTCGAGGTAAGGATTGACCTCGAATTATAGGCTGATTATGGAGAAGAATAAAAACAGAGACTGGTACGAAAAAAAATGAGAAATTTTGATAAGATATACTGAAAAAAAGTTAAAGATTTTAATTTGAGATAAAATAGAATACAAATTGATCTTTTGAAATTATTCGGTTTTAACTTTTTTTTTTTTTTAATCTCAGATAGTTTTATAATATTTAGTAATATTTTCTGTTAACGTCTCTTGAAATTTAAGTTTGATCTTAAATCAATTTTATAAATTTGTTTTTTTAATATTTATTCATATATTTTACTTTTTTATCTTTTATTATAATAAGTTCATATATATATATATATATATATATATATATTATTTTTTTCATATTTTATTTATAATTAATATATAATTTGAAATTTTTTAAACACAGCATCTATGTTTAAACTTATTGAGCTAGTGACGTGGATATAAGATAATAAAGTAGGAGAGCTTTTCTAAAAGTATACGATTATACAATTTTAAAAAATGAGTTTAAATATTATTTAAGTCTATAAAATCAATTTATTAGACAATAATTCTTTTACTT